TCGTCCTCGTCCTCCTCCTCGTCCTCGTCCTCGTGCTCCTCTTTCGCCTCCACCTCTCCCTCCTCTGACTCAACTGCCTCCGCCGTCTCCTCCTCTCTTCCCACCCCCTCCTTCCTTTCTCCCTCATCAAGAGCAGGCCTAACTTAACTAGTCCCTCGTCCTCCCTCCTCCAGCACTCCTCTGTCGTCTCCCAGCTCCTCCTCTTCGGTCACACGGAGCCATAGTCCGCGCTCCAGTCGATATACCTGAGACCAATCAACCCCAGCACAACTCCAGCTCCCTCACCTCTGGTCGTTCACTCGTTGTGCTGGCCGTACAACCTGCAGCGCTTCCTCCAGGTCCTTGCTGCCAGCAGCCTTCAGCCACGATCCCGTCCTCGACCTCCTCCTGGTCCTTTCCGTCCTCTTTCTCCTCCTCCTCCTCCTCGTTCACAGCAGCAGCACCACCACCAGCAGCAGCTCCTTCCTAGTCTCACCTCGTAACGGGACCGAGCTTGATCTTATCCCCGCTGGCTTGTCCGCTCTCCAGCAAGCTCATGATCCTGTTGACCTCTAAACTTCGTGCTGTCCAACCATGACAACCTTCTCCCCCCACCTCGCAATCCTCTCTCCTCCCCACTACTCCTTCCCTCCACCTTGGCTCCTCCTCCGTTCTTCCTTCCCTTCCCGAATGCTCCTCCGCTCCTCCTGCTCTCTCTCGCCCACCAACAGACCTGCGGAGAGGCTTCATGGCTGCTTCCTTACACAGCGCAACGACGTCCGAGCCCGAGAATCCTTCAGTCCGCTGGGCAGAAACGTCACTGCATGCTCCGAGCCCAGCTGGTTGCGAGCTCCCGGCCAGCTGGGAACTTCCCCACCTTGGCAGCTACGTCGTAGTCGAGGCCGTTGGCTCGATTCTCGTCGAGGTGCTGCAGAGAGGTAAGGGCAAGCAGGACGAGGCAGGACGGCAGGGGAGAGGGTCAAGAAAACAGGTGGACGGCAAGTGACCGAGGAACAAGGAGGCGGAGGTAGAGCGAAGGGGGAGGGAGAGGGAGGGAAGGAGGGGGGTTGTGAGAGAAGTGGGTAGAGAAGGGAGAGGAGGGCGCCAAGGGAGGGGAGGAGGAGAGTGGAAGTGGGGAGCAGGGGGACCGGGAAAGCGAGGAAGGGGGCAAAGAGAAAGACCTTGCGGATAATATTCTTGCGAGCCTCTTCTGATGGCAGAGGGACGAAAATTCTCTTCTCCAATCTCCTCAGTAGCGCAGAATCCAAGTCCCAAGGTAAATTGCTTGCGCTAACGTGATGGTCAACTCTCCCCGTCTCTCCTCTCCTTCTCTCTACTCTACTATCCTACCCGCCTCCCCTCCCGTTCCCTTTCCTCACTCCCCCTCACTCCTTCCCTTTCCTCTCCGCCTCTTTTCATCGTGGGATGTAGAGTCACCAAAGAAGGAAGACAAGGTCGGAGGAAGACATCACGCCATCCATTTGGATCAGCAACTCTGTCTTCATCCTTCGGCTGCTCTTCACCAGTCAGTTCAGCTCCAGCAGTCAGCCAGCTGCCATGCCTGCCGTCATGTTCTTGGCCGCTGCTGAGCCTCTGGGACATGATCGAGTCGATCTCGTCCAGGAAGATCGTGCTGGGCTTGTGGTACCTCGCGAGCTCGAAGAGAACCCGAACCTGCCAACGTCATGAGCAGGACAAGGGGAGCAGCACGAGTTCCAGCACGAGTTTCTCGGAATCTCCTCTCCACTTGGAGACGATAGAAGACGCGCTGAAGGAGCATGAGACAGCGGGGAGCACAGGGAGCGCAAGTGCCTGATGTTGAAGAAGGTCGTCTTGCACTCCGTCGCCACAGCCTGCCTCGGCTTCACACAACTCACCCACGGTGCGCATCTCTTACCTTGGCAAGCATGGTCTTTCCCGTCCCGGGCGGTCCATAGAGGAGGACGCCCTTCCAAGGGGAGAGAAGGCCCTGGAACAAGGACGGATACTTCACGGGAAGCACGACCGCCTCCTTCAGCAGACGCTTCGCGTCCTCATTTGAGGCGATGTCAGCCCATCGGACGTCTTCCTCACGCCACGTCAGCAGAGCCCTCTCAGCTCTTGCCCACCTGGATTCGACATGAGCACGTCCCGTTGGATCTGAGAACCCAGCTCCCGCAGCTCCGAAGATCCCCCGAAGTCTGCATGGCGGCGAACCTCTCCTCAGCACCTCACACAGACTCTCATAGGATCATTTCGCACCTGGCAGAGGCTTCAGCAGCCTTCGCTCCCAGAACTCGTTCGGGTCATCGCCGTCCCCTGGCTGCCTCTGACTCTTCTTGTACTTGTCCTGGTACGCTCCCTTGCTCTCTTCCCCCAGAGTTCTTGACCCAGTGATATTCAACCCGCCTGTATCCTCCGTGTGCTCTTTCGTCTCTCCGTTGGAAGTGACCTTGCTTCCTCCCGCAGACGGGCGTCTAGGCGGCCGGCCTGAAGCACTTTCAGCAGAGCGGGAGACGATTCTTTCTCACCTGAAGCCCTCGAGTCCTGGTCGCTGTCACTGGAGCTGCAAGCATACAACAATCACATCACAGTCGTCTCCATAAATGGGATGAAACAAAACTCATCGATCTGCCATACCTCACTTTCTTCCTGATGCTGTTCGATCGCCCCAAGTTCGGAAGCCTTGATACCTCGGCGCCCGAGCGTCCTTCCCCCGATATCTACGCACCCATATCAAGGAGCTCAGATTATTATAGAAACCTCACCTTCCTGATCAGCTTCGGTCGTCGCTGGAAGCGGATCTCATAAAAGTCTTCGTACTCTTGCAAGATGGCCAGTAGATCCACATTGTCGGCGGCATCGAACTGGTCGAGGTTGACCTGAGACTCTGCTTGGAGCCTCTCGGCAGTTTCGATATAACCGAAGTCACACAGGTGACGGAGGATCAGTACCACCAGAGCCTTCCTCCTCTCCTGCAACTTCTTGTCTTCTTGCTCCTTTGCCTGACTGGCCATCTTAACACTATGGAAAGTCGACATGGCGTTGGCGTTTCAGGTTCTGCTCAGACTCTCTCAGTCAGACCGCAAGTTTCTCCATCTCTGCGACATCCCTCGGCGCCTCACTGGCCGCACCCGCATGGTCTCTCAACCACAAACCTCTTTCACCTTCCCTGCCATTTCCCGCGCCATCTGACCACCTTTACTCAATTTCACTTTAATTCTATTTAGCTAATTAGATACAGCAATGCACCCGGTGACCGGGCCCGGGCCGGTACGATCATCGGACACCATCACTATCCGGTACGCCGCCGCCTAATCACCCGGTGGCACTGACAGTGCTCAGTCCGAGAGCCATCCATGAAGTGATGGCATCAGCGAGGCCCGGTCAGCGGCATCCCCGGGCCGATTCAGTCTGTCCAGCCGGGGCTGTCAGAGCTGTCAGAACTCTGGGTCAATTCAATCCGACGTCAAGTTGCGACCGACAGCCTGCCGCGCTCCCGGCTGACTCGAATGTCTCCCCCCTCCCCCTCCCTGTCCTTCCGGGCCTTTCCCTGGCGCGGTGACGGTGTGACCAGGTGCCACGGTGTGAGGGGAATGGGCGAAGGCACCGCGGTCACGACGGTGCCTGGCGGCGGGTTACGGGTCAGTACTTCACGGGGCTGAACTTCGGCCTCGAAATCGCAGACATGAATTTTCAAAAGTTTCATTGACCGATGAGATGGGTGAGGGAAGTCGCTTAGCTGTACTTGTCCATGAAAGACTGATTGAACTTGCGCTGAGAAGAAGGCTGGTTAGTCACGAGAGGGGCGAAAACAAAAAGAGAGCCAACCAGCTTGTCAATGACGTCGTCCATCTTGCTCTCACTAGGCAGGAAGGTGGTGCGGAAATGAAAGCTCCCTGTTTCACATGAAGAACGTCAGATCGCCTCAAGCGCGGGCTTGCTGAGAGGCAGACCTTGCTTCTGTCGGAAACCGGAGCCGGGCACCTGTTGGGCAGGAAACGATTTAGACACAGAAAACAAACGCTGTCTGTCTGTCTGTCTGTCTGTCTGTCTGTCTGTCTGTCTGTCTGTCTGTCTGTCTGTCTGTCTGTCTGTCTGTCTGTCTGTACTCACCACACAGATTCCCGTTGCATCTAACAACTCTACCGCATAGAAGGTGTCCGGTGTCATCCCTGTCGCAGTCCTTTACTCCCTTCGGGAATTGACTTGTATGAAAGACCTGCTTCCTTGGCTGCCTGCACCGCAGACGGCGGTAGGTGAATAGACGGAAAAGCGTACATGGCGCCTCCAATCTCAGTGCAGGTGATGTTCTTCATGCTGGCAAGGCGAAGTCAGGTACACAATCGGCAGCCTGGGCATGCTCCCGGAAAACAATCTGACCAACCTATTCAGGGCAGCATGCAGCTTCTGAGACCGTCGCTTGAGGGATTCAAACAGGTCCTTCATCTCTCTCTGCCCCCCCGGTTCAGGGAGCAACAAAGGGCAGCCATGCATTCCTGACCTCATACTGATCGTGAGACGGATCTCCTTTCGCCGGCGGGTTGACCATCAAGTCAACAATGATCTGCCCAGCGATGTTCGAACACAGACTGATGGAAAACAGCTGTTGCGAAGCAGCGAGTCACCTCAGCGACCGGAACCGCACGTTGCTCACATACCTTATAGATTTGCTCGACCACGACCGGGTCGATGTTGATCAGCTCCATGTAACCTCCGCGCCTTCCGCACTCTCCGATCATCCCCTTGGAGACCGAGTGATACGAGATCAACTCGACGTTGCTCTTCATGTGCGTCACAACTTTGCGGAAAGATGTGAAAGGAACCTGAGGAACACTCAGTGACATGCAAAGGGATGGTTGTGCACATACGTCCCCATATACATTCGCTTGGTAAACTTCATCTGCCAGTATCACAAGATTGTTGCGCTCACAAAACTCCACGACTTGGCGAATATTTGCCTCCGTAAGGCATTGCCCAGTGGGATTTCCAGGGTTAATCACCGCAAGTGCCCTGACGTTTGTGCCCTTTGAAGCAAGTCAAGACATGGAAACAAACTGAGCGAGGAGGAAAGGTAACCTGATTCCTAGCCTCCCTCAACGCCCGATCAAGCTCAGAAACATCCAAAGTCCACCCCTGCGATTCGTCCAGGTAGTACCCCACCGCTCTCCCGCCGTTCAGCGAGATGGTGGCAGTGTACAGCGGGTACTGAGGGATGGGTATCATGATGCCATCAAGCTCGTTCTTCACAAGACACATGATCGAGATGTGGACCCCCTGGCTTGCGCCGTCAGTGAGAAAGATGTCATCAGCGTACGCCGTGACTCCATCTCTCTTCGCAATGAACTTGGCTACATTCTCCCTGACGTGCCGTAGACCTTGACTCTCACTATAGGCTCCTGTGCCGCCAGGTGTGTTCTTGTGAAAGTCTTTTGCGCGGGCGATGGCATCGGCAGGGAATACTTCCGAGCAGCCTTGCATGTCCAACAAGTCTGGATAGTCTGTCAGCGCCAAGACCTGACGGAAAAACGTGATCGGCTTCTGCTTCAACTGGTGAGGGTTGCCGATGTTGCAGTACAGGATCTCATTAAAAGGCAGCGTTTGTTTCTGTTGCAGGGCACGTTCGTGCTGCATCGCGCGAAGGACAAGGGCACCACGGACGGCATACTGCGCTTCGAGCACCTTAGGATTGATGGAGTCAGGAGTCAACTGCATGCTGCGGACAAAACTGATTGGGAGCGAGGCAGATTTCCTTAGCCTGCCGATGGTGGCTGAAAAAACTCCACATTGGGTGGATTTGTTAAAGACAAGACGCTGCATAGATGTGAAAATGTCCAGAGTGACAGAGAGACTACACAGAGAAGGGATCAAATCCACTGCAGCGATTCAGATCTTATGGAGACGACTGTGAATGAATGCGGCCAGTTCCTCCCATTGTCTATCTTGGCATGGTGGAGACCCTGAAAACACAGCAGTTTTAGGGAAAACAAGGCACAAAGCATTGCAACTGAAACTAGAACAAGTTCATTCTCCCCAAGATTTCAGTGGAAAGGGATTGGCGTGCAAAACAAGTTCAACAGACCGAACATCATGCCAAAATTATGGCGAGTTTATCACGGGAGTACTGCTCTTTCCATCAACATTCCTTTGAACATGAGAGGAGAGTGGGTATCTCATTATCGAAATTTGTTGAATCAAGGAAAAGAAATTCATCAGAAGCTACACTTCATCCTCACGACCCGCAATATCTGCTGCTTCATAACTTTGTCTCGGGCATTGCACCGTCAACTACCCTGCCCTCAAGACTCCACAGGGAACACCCTGTCCTCTTCCTCTTCTCTCCCTCCATCATGTCAGTGCTACCATGTTAAGATGTGCAAGAGCATGCGAAGTGCTGCATATCAGCATGGGCAACGAAGCGGTGCCATACAACAGGCCAGTGCGGGGAGCCAGCATGCGGCGCTGCAAGAATTGGGGAGGAAGGTCTTTGGGGTGGGGGGTAGTTCCATCTAGGGTACTTCTTCACATACAGGGTGTAGTGGTACTTGTGTACCTACTTGTTAGTAACAATTTTGAAGTCAAAGTGAGGGTATGAGATAAATGAAGGGGGTACTTGAATTAGGGAGTGGGTAGGGACCTTTGTAGGAGGAATGTGGGTGGGTAGTGAACAAATTTGCGGATTTCACCTATTATCGGAAACTTTGGAAGTTTCAAAACATTGAGAGTTTAGGCACTGAAAGTTTACGAGTACACTTGAAAGTTTCAAACTTTGAAGGGGTGGACGAATTATTGGCAGAGCAGACGGGATAGAGAGGAAGAAGAGAAGGGAGAAGGGAGGAAGGAACAAGGAGGAAGGAGGAAGGAGGAGGAAGGAAAGAGGAGGAAGTGGCAGCACGAGGACCCACCAGCAAGAACAAGCTTGTGGAAGAGTGAGCTAGAAGCTACTTGGAGAGGAGAAGAGGCGACCAGGGCAAACAAAGCAGCACTTTGAAATTCGATTCAGGCCGGACGGGGTTGCGTCAGCCAATGCAAGGAGGGACTGGGCGTGCGGGAGCGAAGAGCATGAAGGGATATCATCACGTGGATATTGTTGTTCCCTCGTCCTCCATCGATGATGAGCAGAATCGGGCTCCTAAGTCAGAGTCGGCGAATCAAGCCGACGCCGGGCCATCGGATGATGGCGTGTCGAGCATGACTCGCTTCTCGGGAGACTGTGTCAAAGTGTTCTGGTCCAAGAAGGCGAAGTTTGTTAGTCAGGACCCCTGGCCAGTTGTGCAGAAGCCTGCTACACGCCATGGCCATGAAGTCTACCTTGAACACGGCGAGGACAGTTCGATTCCATCGGATGTTGCAGAGGATGGATCGAAGGTGGACGACCAGGGTGTTCCAGATGAAGACTATGGCGCCTTTGACAGAGGCCCTTTTGTTGTACACCCGACCAACAGCTCCCTGGCAAACACACAAAGAACATTTTTATTGTGAAGATGCTCTCGATTACAAAACGCTTTCTTGTTTTCCTAGCAATTGACATCAACTGACTTGGTTACAAATTTCATATCTGCGATGGTTTCCTAAGCTCAATATTTGTTTCTCCTGCTACTCATTTCTTCGCTATATGTTTGTGGAATATCTTCTCTAGAGGAGCTTCACATTGCTTCACAAGATCAGGAATATGTACGAGTACGTTAAGACACGGTTGGTCGTACATGGCACAATCAAAATTCACAGGCAACTTATTAGTTCACTTGTGTTGAGCTTGTGGTCAGTGGGATCAGTCATGCACAGATCATTATTGGACTACAATGATGCAAAGCCGGTGTTTGTATTTGAGTCGGCTTCCCTTCTCTTTCATATCCTTCAATGTACATTCATAGCATATCGCAGTACAACTAGCCGCTGCTGCTGCTGCTCCCTGCTCCTCCTGCCCACCTTTTGATGCGACTCCATGTCTCTCTTCTCAAGCTCCAAGAAAGCAGCATTTCTCTCCGCAAACTGAAAGAATGCAGGTCAGAAACCTCAGCTGTGACAGAATCGAATCATCCATAACAACATTCAACTTTTGATATTTCTTGATACACTACATGTCCAGCGCAGCATGTAACGGGAAAAAAATCGAGGCAGTAGCAGGAGTGGCAGGAGCGGCAGGAGCGGCAGGAGCGGCAGGAGTGGCAGCAGCGGCAGCAGTCTCGGGCCCGAACCAAGAAGTATGCTTGTTCATGTTCCGCGATCAGAAGAGACCTCAAGAGTCTTCTGCAACTTTTGAATCTCTGCTATGCTTGCAATGGGTTTCTTGGTACCTCAACACATAATTATGCCCTCGCGGTCAGCCGCCACGGACTTCGGCTCTCCAGGTGTTCCATCAAGTGTGTGACCTGCTTTCGATCTCGGTGTTGTGTGTACAACAGTTGGCTACAAAAGTCGGTAAATTGCACCTACAAGATGCGATTGCATACACACACAGGTCACACGTGGAAATGAAGCTAGATTTGATTTATGTACAACAGAGTCTTTACATTTTGGGTGTGCCGTGTATGATGCAACTTAGCACACATGCAAGGCTTTCCTGTGTACGCAGCAGTCAGGGTGCAGGCGGCCGCTACTCCGCTTGCGAAAGGTCCAGCATTTCCTTGGATACTGCTCGATCATCAAGTGCACCAAGGTGTTTACTGGCCTCGGCATCTCTCGTACAACACGATCCCTGTTGCGTGAAACAGAGTACGCTTGCCGAGTTGCAGTGCCTTGTAGTGGGTACGTTCGCCCAGCCTAGACGCATCATGTTCAGGGCTACTAGCACACCACAGCGGCTTCTTATCGCAGTATCAACCTTTTACGATTTTCTGCATGATGTCGCCAAGTCGTTACCACTAGGCCAATCCAGTAACGCATAGTGGGTGCGATCATCACTTCCCCTTGCCCGGAACTTGGTGTCGTCGCTGCACGAGGACACTGATTTTGGCCTTGCAGCCCCGGGCCGACCCAACGGTCCCGGCACCGGTATGAGGCCATCCGGTCCTTACGTCTGAAGTTGCACCAGTCGGAGCGAGTTCGGCAAATGCCTAACTGCTCGATGGTCGAGGACGGTAAGTTCCCCGCACGTCTTCAGCGTTAAGGTTTCGGTGTGCACTCATATCAGACCTTTCAAGTGCCTTTCAGCGAGCATAACACGGCGTTCCCACGTGCCTCTGCGTTTCTCCTAGCGTTTCAATTACGCTTTCAGAGAAGAGCGCTTGACATCTTTGAGGTGATAAGAAGGTGACTGCTATTTCACACTCTGCTGATCGTGTGGGGAAGCAGACGCAACCCTGACATCGCGCTTTGCAATATCAACTAGCTTCATGGAAGTTTAGAGCAACTGGTAGCGATTCGCACCCAGTCGGAACCCCTACCGGGGTATCAAGAGTACGTCATGCGCTTTCGAATGAAAGCACCTGAGACGCGCCATCGCCCTGACTGACAATCACTTCACATGTCACCATGTCAGCCCATCGTGATGGGGAAGCTGTGCTATGAAACTCTACTCCGTTCTCCCACTTTCTGATTAGAGACTCCGATGACGCATCTGCGTCACTACTCTCTCAGGGAAATACCTGAGGAGTGCTTCGCAAAATGGTCTCGAATATCTCACACCAGAGGAATCTACCTGCAGCGAGGTAGCAGCTTTGATTCTCTGATAGCTTTTTCAGCTTCAGGAACTGAGCTTCAGTCCAGGTCCACACGTCAGCTCGGCGGGGTCACTTGCGGATCCCCACTTACTTTATCGTGCGACTCGACATCCTGAACCTCGGCCAGACACGAAGTCTAGAGCACCGATGGTACAGGAACGTAAGGACAAGAGCTGCTTCAACTTGCAGTTTGTCCCTCAGAGCGTGTGAAGATTGTACTTTACATACATTGACTCACAACTTGCTTGCCTTCCAAAATAATTTCGGAAGTTCGCGATCGTCGTCTGCCTTCATCGTTTCGGTTGAGGTTTCAACCCTCAGAGCCGTTTCGGTCTGGCATGATCGCTATCATCTTCACTGCCCATAGCTTCCGCTTGACTTGCGGTTTTCACGTGCTTCGGTGCAGTTGACTCTACTCTTGGAGCGGCGATCAACATGTCGGTAGGGACACATCCTTTGGTCCTTGTCATTCTTATTCGGCATTTGAGACGTAAACATTTTGCTTGGAAATTCGAGCACTTCGAAAATCTTGCATATCCGTCTCAGGGAAGCAGCATCGTTGGTTTCTGTACAGTCTTGTGTCTCGTCGAAGGTAACGACAGCATTCTTTGTCTTCTGATACATGTGGGAATGTAGCCTCGGGTCGCTATCATGCTAGTCGATCCTTTGCTCGTGAAGCTCAGTCAAAATCGCTGTTTCTCTTCGAGTCTTGGGTCTTGGAGGTCTTGGGTCTTGGAGGTCTTGGGTCTTGGGAGTTCCTGGTCGACGGTAGGCAATCTACTGCACGGGCAAGCGCCATCTCGTTTCCATACCGTCTCCTCTTGACGCTTCGAGGTGGGGGCCGTCCTTTCGTCTCCCCAGCATCCACCAACCCCACCCCTCTAAATTCTCTATTACCCCACCCTCTGTATTTCTTCATGGGACAATTTACTCATTGGTGGGGTACTTGACCCCACCCATCCAATTATCGTTGAATTGAAACTGCATGTGTATGAAGCCAACGATTTCATGACCCCCACCCTGATAGAACATGGATGTGGAAACCTGCGGACTACCCACTCTCGAGAAAGTACCCACCTGTTGAACGAGTGCGCATCTCACCACCCCCTTGTTGAGAACCCCTACATATCCAGCAACGCTTTGCCCCCGAAGGTTGCCGTCTGAGGTCATGGTAAGGGTGGGTAGATGATTTGTAAGGAGGGGTACTGGTAGGCAGAATCGAATCTAGGTGGGTACTCTCACAACCAAGACAGAAGAATACCGGGTGATATAACCTCTGTTGGTAGGTGAGAGAGGGGTGGATGCGATCCATGACGCAAGTTTTAGGGTAGTGGGTTGTTGGTCATACAATCCTTGAGGTGGGTGGTCGCAGCGTCTAGTGTGGGGTTCTCGATCGACGTACGGAGTAGGCGGAATCCGAGATTTTGGGGAGAAATTTCAAATATTACTATGTGTGAATCTTTCTATAGATGTATATTTCATTCTTTACCCCTACGCCGCTTCAAAATACCCCTCCTTGGTGGGTAGTAATACCATGGACTCAAAATTAAGTGAAAATAAGTAAAAGGAAAATGTTTACTCACACCTTGACCAGTACACTTTGAGTAAACCCTGCCCTCGCACGGCTTTTTTTTTTTTTTTTGCTCTGAATTGATCAGTAGATCATTTACGAAGTTCAGTATGAAGGCCTCTTCCGGCGCCTTGCCCGGGGCCCGATTCGGGGCCGGGACCCACCCCCGTTCTGAGGCGAGTCATGGGATAGGTAGTCTGACCTCCTACCCCTTGTATTCTCAAATTTTATGGGATTTTGACGGGGTACTACATATGATTGCATACTACCCTACCCCCACTAGATTCCACTGAACAAATGTACGTAATAGCACCCCCTCGAGATATACCTGGAAATGACACCGGTGGTGCTTCTAGAGATGTGACTCTTTGATCAGAGGGGGTAGGGGTAATATCACACCCGTCGAATATCAGGAATAACAAGGGGTGATAATGTCAACAAGATTTGGATCTGCTAGGTAGGGTAGTGTCCCCCGGTAAGGCCCTTGATGACCCTACACAGGGTACTCTGCTTACCATCAGGTCTTGTACAGGGGTAGTACATGGGAAACAAGGGGGTCATTTGCGTCCGGCAGGGGTGTAGTATGAGGGGTAGGGAGGTGACGCGTAACAAATATTTGGCTTTATCGTGGGAGGAACAATCCCTGTTGAACATCAACATGGCCAGCAAGGTACGAACATGGACTTTGGGATGAAGATGGCAATGGAGTGGAGTGGAGGGCATGGGAAGATAGGAATAGGAAGATGCGGGAGAACATGAGAGGAAGAGGAAGAGGAAGAGGAAGATGAGGGAGGGGACAGAGGAGCGGATGCGATTTTAAGACCACTGAAGGAGCGAGGAGAGACCAATCCAGGAATTGGCAATTCCTGCTAGGATAGGGATGAAACATGTAGAAAGGGTTAGGAGGCACGATGGGATATCCTTACTCAGCGCAAAGAGCTTCTTTTTTCACCAACTTAACTCAGTCTGCACAGGTTCTCGCTTTCTCCGCTTTGGTTGCTTCCGCTTCCGCGTTTGCCCCCGGCGCCTCCGTGCAGCCCCGCCTCCGCTCCGGAGCCACCTCCGTCAGCATGACCATGGACAAGTCCAACCGTGCTCCCGTCGTCACTGTCTTCGACCACAGGGGATGCCAGCGCGGAAAGAGGAACACCGAGTACCAGGGCCTTCCCGCTAACTCCCAGGACGACGAGATGCTCGTCAAGGTGACTTGCTGCTGACCTGCTCAGTGACTGAGTCTGACGATGACGGCAGGTCGCCATGCAGAAGGTTGCCATCAACGAGGCCGCTGCCACCGACTTGGTCCAGCAGCTCCTCGGAACTTTGAAGAAGTAAATATCTCTTGTATGTTGTATCACATAGCATTAAAACTACAAAAATACATCTATCTCCACCCTTTGTCTTTACATCCGGAAACTTTGAACGATGTCAGTACCACGTCAATGTCTGCTTGCCATTCCTACCTGTTGTCGTCCGAGGATCCAACAGATTCGCGTGATAGGTTCTCTTCGTAACGCAGCACATGATGAGCCAGGGGGGACTTGGTTTGACTGAATCCATACTCGCTGAAAGGCACTTGACTGTCTGACCTCTCAGACTTGACCGCCTGCAGGAGAGTTAGAGAGCGACTCGGAAGCCCTTCAAACGGATTGCCTTGAGGCGCTCTAATTCTTCACGGGCCTTCCCTAGCTCCTCAGTCAGCCTGTATGCCATTTAAGGATAGAAAACGCTCATGAAAGGAGCGCTTTGCCTGTCTTTCTCAGCACTTACAGTTGCCTCCCTGATCTGACCAGACTGTGAGTAGGAGGATGAGCATGCAGACGATGTGAGTCACCTGTGCCCTCCTGAAGAGGGTCTCCAACTCTGAGGTGCGGGAGTCTTCCTCCTCCCCTCCCCTTCGTAGATCGTCCCTCCCCGCCGCGTCCTGAAGCGCCTGTCTCGGACATCATAAACCCGCTTACCTACACAAAGATAGGCAATCACCAAGAAAACCCACCTTTGTCATATGCTTAATCTGGGCCTTTCTGCGGTCCAGTGATTCCTTCGCAGCTGATATGAAATATTAAGACATGTTCTCCTCTTCCTTTAGAAGTGGTACGATTACCTGTCAACAAGTCTTCCAGGGAGGCTTCTCTTGCTTTCAGGGCCGAAACCTGAGTGCGATGAATGATCAAAATGCAACAGAGAGGTGGAAAATCTGTTATACCTTGTTCAAGATTGATCTGAGAAGATTGGCACACTCTGTATTGCCACTCTGCACATAATTGCTCGTTTCCTGAAGTCTCCAGTCAGTCATCCTGGTGCTCCCAAGTTCACCTGTACTAACATTTGAGGTTTGCTTGTTGCTCAGGATAGCTTTGATGTTTCTGCACACAGATTGAGTCATGCTCAACATGGAAACTTGAGGTTCAAACCTAAGTTCTGGTACTATCAAATCAAGCTCGTTGTTGTAAAGTCGTCCCTGATCCTGCCATATAGTGAACCTGAAGAAATCAGAAATGAGTTGATGCCACCCTCATTGCTGACGCCTGATCATGTTTGGGTGGTGGAAACGCTGCTGTATCTTGATGTGCTTGTTTCATCTGATAATTCCAAAGGGAGAAATTAGATTCAAGGAGGACTGCGGTTGGCTCTGGTAGTTCTACACAAGGTACATTCGATCAGTCACCTGAGACGGGTTCTCCCACATGACATCAGCATCAATCCTGTTCATCACTGTCATACAGCAGCTGTTGGATGCCCTTGTCCCTCACTCAGCAGATCGCCGGAGATCGATCGCCCTGCCACTCAGGCCTTAGAAGCTCCTTTCCAACAGCCTTTTCAACCCACCTGGAAGGTTCTCCATGTCCTTGCCTTGCCGACAAGCTCATAGCTCCTCGTCGGATCCTCACTTGAAGAGTCTCTTCTCTGTCAGGACCTGCCGGAGAGAATCAAAACTTGTGCTATCGTCAGCTGCGCCATCACCAAACAGCACTGAGGTGGTTCGAACGAGCCCAAGGGTGACAAACGAGCCTTCCGGGCCACTCACAAGGGCCCCGACCTTGCGTCAGAGCATCACGTCTCCTGCAACTCTGCAAGCACGAGAGGGGACCTCTGGAAGTGACATGCCCACGACACTCTGGTCGTCGATGGACACGATCTGGATCACCGTCAAGGGATGCGTTCAGTGGTTGAAAACCACACCTTATCTCCAATGTTGATTCCTCCATGCATAGCAGCGCTGAGCAAAGATCTTATTGACGCAAGCAACAAGATTCACCCACCTCCCCCCGGGCTGTATGTCCGCGACATAACAGAGAGTGGTAGGGGTCGTTTGCTCGAGAGCGAGGCCGATCCCTAAAGGAGAGACATCATGGCGCCGCCATGGAGGAATGCAAGAGGGGATCTGAACGCCTCACCAGCTCTCTTGGGCAGAAATGAGCTCATTGATAATCCCACGTCTAGAATGGCAACAGCCCCGTCACAGCTTATCGGCCCAGATTATGCTGACAGCCGATTCAAGGTCTGTCTGGTTACCTGGAGGGGAGGCCATCGAAGGGAGAGGGGATCTTGCTGAGAGAATTCGAACTTGGATAGAAAATATCAAACGGGTCCTTCATTGCGTTCTATTCAGACGTGTTGTCCAATTCCAAATTGCTTGTTCTCAATATTTGAAAATCTAATTTCTCATCAAAGCATTCTTACAACTGAATTTACAAGTAGTAAGCCCTGAAGCTTGATGTCTACACCACGTTATGCTCACTATGCTCTAGATCCCACCAGAGGATCGAAGATTCGCGCCTAAGTAATTGCTGGATTCCCTGCCTCAATCCCTTCTCATCCGAGCAAAAACTTCATTTGAACTTGTTTCTCAGCGATACCATGTCTCCTGTGATCTGTCTTTTCGTTCTTTAGTTTGAACATAATGCCAGCAGCATAGCATACTAATCCTACCGCAATCGTACTTATCATAATCTTTCTCGTCCTCCTCTCCCTCATGATACATGTTCTCCTCTTGCCATTGCGCCTTACTAGGTCCTTCCTTTTCATGGTGGTGGTGGGGTGTTCAAACCCCTTGAGTACCCGTACTTTTGACTATATTTATGGGGGTATATGATCACATGTGGGGGTGAGGGTGATACATCGTTGATCAAGCTTTGTGAGCTTTGTGAAGGCAATTGGTATGGGGTAGGGTACTTCTCTCCTATACCCCCTCAAGCAATACTTCAAAAGGGGGTACTATCATGAAAATCATCACCCCCACCCCATTCTTGGAAAGGAAAAAATTGAAAAACCGAGGCCGTCCCCACCAAATTTGAAGGGCAACAACGGGTACAACAGCTAGATGTAGGAAGTACAATCATGGCTGAACGAAGCCTGCAGTCCATCTAGTCGTTCAGTGTGGGAAGGGAGAGAGAAGAGCTCTGGCAAGACAAAGATCCTGTGACGAAGAGGAGAGGAGGATCGAAGAGGGGAGGAGGATCGAAGAGGAGAGGAGGATCGAAGAGGAGAGGAGGATCTGAGAGAGAAGGAGGACAAGCAGGATGTGGAGGACAAGCAGGATGGTATGAAAGTACGAGGCGAACATCTGAGGGAAAGGATCTCTTAGTACGGTAAGGAAAGAGAGAGGGCGCGAGGAAGGAGGTCTCGAGGTAAAGCAATGGAAGACGAGGAAAGAAATGATGGCATGAGATGTAGGAGGAAGAGGAACTTTATCGCACGTCCGAATGTCCTTTTCTTACCACTGTGTTGGGCAGAGCAGGATGTACAGGGAAATCGTTGAGGTCGGCGGCACGGGCAGGAAGAAATGCTGGCAGATCGTTCTCCTCCTTTCCCTGGCTCTGCTTCCTGTCGTGCTGACGAAGACCATCCCGACTCTGCGAGCAGCTCACGAGGGCGCCAAGACGAGCAAGGAGGTAGGGGCAAGGAGGAAACTCAGTTTCCATGAGGAGATGATTGCCGGGGCCCTGGCTCGCGCTGCTGCTCAGTGCGTCATGTACCCGGCCGATGTGCTCAAGACCCTGGCTCAGACTCGGCGCTCTGGGGGCTCTCCTCCGACTCTGGGGAGCATAACCAAGGTTCTGCTCATCGGCGGTCACCGGAAATGACCTTGCCGCCTGCACGTTGTGCTGGACCTTCGTTCCTACTGCATCTATGTGCTCTGTGCTGTGTGCTGTGTGCTCTGTGCTGTGTGCTCTGTGCTGTGTATACTCTCCAGCTTCCTCCAGCTTCCAGTGGCTTCCTCCTCTTCCCTCTCCTCCTCCATCAACCCCTTGAACTTTCCTGAACTCTCTCGAGCTATCTTTCATGACAAGGAAGGCAGGCTCAACTGCTCAAGGGCTCACTGACTACCTCTGTCTTGGCTCTGCCTGCTGGTGCGATCCAGTTCAGCGTGTTCAGATTGCTCAAGGACGAGGGACGTGAGGTAGGAGGAGGATCGGAGAATGACGCAGGGGAGGGGATGGAGGAGGGGAGGGGAGAAGAAGAGGGAGTGAGGTGAAGGGGAGCGGCCGAAGGGAGGGAGAGGAGAGGGAGAGGAGAGGGAGAAGGGTTGGGGTGAGCAGAGAAACGGGACAGAGAGGGAAGCAGAGGAGAGGGAGGGAGGTGTAGGGAAACGAGAGCGTGTTTCGCACATTTTCTCTGTATGGTCGACCATCTCACTTTCCAGCACTTCAGTTGGCGCCCCCTTGGATCAGCACGGCGAGCATCGAGCTCATGGCAGCGGCAGTGGCGGCGGTGGCAGCGTGTGTGGTGCAGGTGAAGAGAAGGGGGGGGAGGAGTAGGAGCAGGAAGAGACGTTAGGAGGAGGGGCAGAAACAGGAGGAGGAGCAGGAGGAGACGTAGGAGGAGGAGCAGAAACAGAAGGAGGAGGAGGAGGAGGAGGAGGAGCAGACGCAGGAGGGGGAGACGAGAACGAAGGAAGAAGGGAGCAAGCGGAGAGGTAGTGGGAGCGATGTGGAGGTCTCATGTTTTCTACAGACCCCTCAAGAAGTTATCAAACAGAGGATGCAGGCAGGAATTTATCCTTCCTTCATGCAGGTGAGCGATGCATGTCAGTGTGATGAGAGGAATGGAGGGGAGAGGAGATGAAAGAGAACAGCGGAGGGAAGAGATGGGGAGGAAGAGGAGAGGACAAGGAGAAATCGAGGCAGAAATTGAGAGGACGGAGATTGGGAGACGAGAGGGAGAAGAGGAAGAGGAGAGAAAAAAAGAGGAGAGGTACAGGAGAGAAAGAGGAAAGGCAGAGAAAGAAGGGGAGAGGGAGAGAGGGAGAGAGAAGGGTGTGGGAGGAAGGGGGGGGGGAGGAGAGCTGAAGGAGACAGTAGAGAGTCGTGGCACAAGGATCTGAGTCACATTGAAAAGCTTGTGGGTCATGATAGTTGTGATGTCAGGGAGTTGCCTCGTTGCTGAGAAGTGAAGGCCTGCGAGGATTCTACACAGGTCAGCTCATCCTTTCATGTTGCTGTATTTGAAGCGTCCACTCTCTTCCTCCTCCTCCTCCCCTCCCTCCACTTCCTTGCACCTTCTTCTTCTTCTTCTTCTTCGTCTTCTCCGTCTTCTTCTTCTTCGTCTTCTTCGTCTTCTTCTTCTTCGTCTTCTTCCTTTCTTCTTCTTCTTCTTCTTCTTCGTCTTCCTCTTTTTGTCTCCTCCTCCTCCTCCTCCTCCTCCATCACCACCACCACCACCTTCGTCTTCTTGTTCTCCTTCGTCTTTTTGTTCTTCGTCTTCTTTATCTCCGTCTCCTGTTCTCTCTCATTCTCTCCCTCCCTCTCTCTCTCCTTGATCTATGACCATCCATTTGACCCCACCTTTTCTTACCCTCCTCTCCTCCTCTCCTCCTCTCCTCCTCTCCTCCTCTCCTCCTCTCCTCCTCTCCTCCTCTCCTCCTCTCCTCCTCTCCTCCCGATTTCTTCCCCCAGGATTTCTCCCAACGGTCGCAAGGAACACTCCGACCGTCTGCATCTCCTTCACGGGCTTCGCTCGCCTCAAGGTCAGCAGACCGCAAGCACGACCCCAGCTGAGAGCCGGCAGGTCTTTTTCGACCAGCTGCTTGACAGGAAGCCTACGGCGACTGAGAACCTGGTGAGACAAAGTCGCTGGACAGTCTTATCTCGTCCTCGTCCTCGTCCTCGTCCTCGTCCTCGTCCTCGTCCCGCCTGTCCTTCTCTTCCTCCTCTCACTTGTCGTCCTCTTCTCTCTTCCTCTTCTTCCTTCCACGTTTCCAGCTCTTCGCTTTCCTGCTGCTGCGCCTGCTGCTGCTGCTGCTGCTCCCCCTCCCCCCTCAATTCTTCCCGTTGCTTCTCAGGTCCTCGGCGGCGTCGCTGCCACAATAGCAACCCTGCTCACACAGGTACAACGTTACAGCAAGACGACCTTGCCGTGCTGCCTCTTTATACCCTCATTCCATCTCCTCCTCCTTCTCCTTCTCCTCCTCCTCCTCCTCCTCC